GCAATGATGAAAATAGGGAAACGAAAAGAAGAGAAACAGCGTTGAGCGTAAGAAATTCGTCAGGTTTTAATATTACCAACATTATATCGTCGGAGAGGATTTTGCTATTCGCCACCGGAGGCGAAGAAAAATTGGTTGTAAAAAATGAGAAGAAGAGATCTAGAATTCTCTCTGGTGAAATTCATCAGGTTTTTATATTTTAAAAGTTCTTACATATATATTATAGATTTTTCATTTTCTTTATAATAATAATTACTATCTTCTTAATCTCATTTGCTAAACGTATACGGTTGCATATAACTTTATCAGTGGTGGTGACACTAACAATTGACGACCAATTATAAACCAAATATTTAAATGATTTTCGTAATTTGATGCTTCAAAAAATAAATACGAGTTTAGTTAAATTCTTTCAATCTGAAGAAGATGAGCTGTTTTTTTACTGGGTTGTTGTAGGAAGAGATGAAGGTGTAATTCAAGATAAATCTCCGGAAATCATTGAAATTTACTCGGCACTTCTGTTTTGTGTTATTTGAACCCTTACTTTTCATTCAAAAATTAAAAAAGGAAATATTAACAATTCATCAGAATCCTAAAAGCAAAGAGTTGTCGAAAAGGAAACATTTGTTGAAAAGGTAAATTAAGTGATCCTTGAAAAAGGACAAACAAAACATCAAGGCCTAAATTTTGGTTATTTATAACCTCTCAGTCGTTCCCATAATTCATTACAACTAAATCAACAGGAAGTTTTCAAGTCTTTCTTTGAAAAACAAAAACATCCACATAAAGGTTTCAATCTTCCGTTATGGTTTCTCAATGTGAAAGAAGAAGCAAAATTCCCGAGGCTGTTTGGGATAGAGTGGTCTACTATAACTGTTGATGTGGTCTTTGCTTCAAACATGGTAAACAAAAAACATGAAAGACAGTTGGTTGAGTTTGTGTTGAGTTTATGTTGATCTCTTGCATATAACTCTGTTTGCTTCAAATTTTTTAACACTACTTGATCAAATCTAATATGTTATATGTTTTCCAAAACACAGTAGGGAAAAAAACGCAAGGGCAATGCGCAAAGCTATTCTACTATCAAAAAGAGCATCTACAAAAAAAAATGGTACGTTACTATTACTCATTAATTATGTTTCTGAATTATTAGAAGCTTAAAAAAGATATTTTCTTTTTCTTTGGAAACAGAAAATGAAAAAGTGATGGTGGTAATTCAGAGAGACAAAGATGGTTATTTTATAAAGAGTGATGCTGCTAGGGAGTTTAAATGATTAAATTTTTCTTGATCATAAATAACAATATACAAAGTAATTGAATAGGTTATTCTTTAAGCAAAGTTAAAGGCTATTGTAATCTATAATATTAAAATTTTATTGGTTTAACAATAACAAGGCAAACGACAAATTTAGGCAAATTATGTTGTCGATCTGCATAAGAAATATCCTTCCTTTCAACCTTGAGGTCAAGGTTTTTCAAATGGGGGAGATTTGATATAGATAATTTACATATTTCAAAGTCGGTTTTGGTTTTGGTTTTGATTTAAGTTTTGGTTTTCCTTATTTAGACTATAAGTCGGTGTTGGTTTTATTATTTAAAGGATTGTAAGTTTCATTATCAATACATTCAGAAATTTACAGAACTCGTTCTTTTATTAGCTTTCTTCACAAGTAACTCAACCCTAGCTGAGAATCTTCTCTGTAATTGAGTAAGGAGTTCGCGTTTTAAGAACGTTGATTCCCGTCACTATCCGGTTACTGAGATATCACGAATTAGCTCTACCAGCTCAAAGAAGCAAAAATCTCTAGAAATGTCTATTTTGTTTCATCGCCGTAAAGCTCAGTAATATGAGTCTATTTGGGTCCTAAAACCCTGTTGGGGTAACTAAATATAGATAGGAAATATGTGTTCTAGAATTTCCGGCTCCGGAGCTTCAAGTGACTCTTACTGCCGTGAAAGGGTTTTGTCCATAAGGAAAACACCTAAAAATAAAAGACAAATCTACTGTATGGTCCACAGGAGGAAGGAGGAGTATTAATCAGACAATGAACAACCGTATGCTGGCTATTGGTTGATACAGACAATGAACATGAACCTAGACTCAATATGTCTAAAACCACCGCAATAGACCCTTTATCAAAAAATAAAACCACAATATACCATGATATTTTTTTTCAAAAATAAAAATACCTCATAAATATACTCTAGACTCTAGGTTATTGTTAAAGAACTATAGACTAGTTTGTTTAAATATTGCTTCTTATACCGAACTAAGTAAAGACGATAATATTTTTTGTTTCCCATACCCAACAACCATATACTCCCTCTGTTTTTGAAAGAAGATTTTTTTTTGAATTTTCACATAAATTACAGTAATCTATAAATTTTAACCAATGATAACTCAACAAATATAATTATTTTTTTTCTTGAAATCTACAGTTCATTATTATTAAGTAATAAATAATGTAACTATAAATCTATAAATGCATGAAAACCCTTTAAAAAAAAATGCATCAATTTTTATTTTACCTAATGATAATTCAACAAATCTATGAATCTAATTTTAACCAATGATAATTCATTACATAACTATAAATGTATCATTTTGTGATTTACAGTAATCTACAAATTTTAACCAATGATAATTTAACAAATCTAATTATTTTTTCTTGAAATATACTATTCATTAATATTAATAAATAAAAAATGCATTGAAATCACAGAGGGAATATCATTTATTTCCTTAAGCGATATTCTGGTCTAACATATATTTCATTTTTCACTATGTAGTGGAAACTATTAATGGAAATATCTTTCAAATACCAAAAAAGGGATTGCGTGATGCGTCGGTCGAAGCGTACTTGACGAGTAGCGACACACAAAAACCATAGTTCACATACCAAACGTGATGGTATCATTGAATGGTTATAAATTGGTTTTGTTGCACACTATATTTGTCGGGTCCCAAATCGAATTATGTTTGCTCACTTATTGCTCTTTGGCTTTTTGGTGAATATAATTTAGGGATCTATTTGTGCACCACCCACAAGCTGGGTACAGCTAGGCTTTTGGAGTATTTGTTTATTGGTATTCGTCCTATTATATAAAAGTTGTATTTTCCTTGTTCTTATGAGGACAAGGGATGATGTGGTCTGTCGAACGTAACGACGATCGATATACCAGAAATATTTCAAACATATTGGTCTGTAACTCCCTGAAAAAATAAAGGAAATTGTTATGGGCATTCAGTTTTTTAGGTTGGGTACGGGTCGGTTCCTTTAAGAACTACTCCCTCTGTTTCAATATATATGGGATTTAAAGTTTTGGCATACAGATTAAGAACTCATTTAATTTTTGTATTTTTTAAAATAAAATACTCTCTCCGTTTCAAATTAGTTGTCATTTTGGGAAAATGTATCTGCAATTATTTTGATGTATCTGCAATGCAAAATACGTCCAGATACGTCCAAATATTTGCAGATACATTTTGCCAAAACGACAACTAATTTGAAACGGAGGGAATATATTTTATCATCAATTCCAAAACATTTCAACCAATGAAAAAGAAATCTACAGAATATGAATAATTAAAAGTAATAAAAATACATTTACTTTTGCACAGCCCCTTATATTTTGAAACAAAAACAAAACTCTAAAACCCCTTATATATTGAAACAGAGAAAATATTAAGATATTTTTTATTTTCGGTCGCGTCTGGTTTGGTTCTGCCCGATTCGGGTCGTTTCCAGATACACAAGTCTACAAAAAATAAGATAAAATTTAAAAAATGTTTAATTTAAATGAAATTTAGTTAATTTTTGCAAAAAAATATATTGAATATTAATAAATATAACTAAAGATTTTTGTATGTCTTCAATATTTTAATTATTTTGTTCTAAATATAATTGTTATATTAAGTTTACAATTGTAATTTTAGATATTTTGGTTATTTAAAATTTAAATATAACTGACTATTTTAGGTATATAATTATATTTGGAATATTTTGGATATTCAAGGGCTCGGTTCGGTTCTCATTTGCTTTTGGATCCATCTATTTTGGGTCGGGTTCGGTTTGGGTCCTCGGGTCGAGGCACTGGCCCAATAAAAGTATAGACCATATAACAAAGAACAATTGCAAAAAGCCTTAATTTTATTTCAAAAGGCCTTAATACCTAACTAAAATCTATACTATATAAAAGTTGAGGCTATAAGACCATCTCCAACCCCTCATGCCATATGTTATTGCAAATGGTAAAAATATAGCAATAGCATTGGGTTTTTCTCCAACCCCTCATGCCATATGTGAATCATTTGTTTTTCTTTTTTGACAAAAACAACTAGAATTATATTTTTTTTTTATTATAATATTAAAACAAATACAACATGTTACATAAAAATTATAGAAAACAAAGATTTTAACCTATTGTTTTATGTTTTTTGAATTTCAGTATTTTTAAAAATAAAATTTTCAGTTTATTATGGTTATGTTTTTATATTTCTATGAAATAAATATTATTTATATTTTGAAAAAGTTATGAGTATTGTTTATTTATTTAAATATTATTTATACTCACAAAAGGATGTTGTAAGAAAGAGCTGCTTGCTAGAGACATCCACTTCTCGGAGGCAAGGAACCCTAAAAAAGGAGGTCTGCTTATGCGATATGTACTGCTTCTAATCGATCAAAAGGTAACAACACTAACATTATTTACCAATTACCAATAGAAAGTTAAATCATCATCAGCTTATAATACTCTTTTCTACCATAATTTAATACAGGGAACTACAATCAAAGCATTCATACAATCTTATCGACTAGGAGACTATGAGGAAAAATTAAAGGCTGGTGAAGTTTACAAGTTTAATAGCTTTCTGGTCATCAACAACGAAAAAGGCGGGAGAAGTCTACAACATTGGTAGTTTTTTGGTCATCATCAACAAAACGAGCTACAAGTTCTCCTCACACAGATTTCTCATCTAATTCATTCCGGAAACAACAATGGTGCAAGCCGACTATGATGACTACACTATTGAGGGTCAAAACTTTGGGATTCGTTCCAACGGCGAGTTTAATGAATCTGTTGACAAGAACGAGGACCTTTATGGCAATAACTCTTTCACTATGAGTAGAGTTCAATCAAAGAAAGACGTTGAGAAAAGTATGTTTAGACGACGGATGGAGAGAAACGAAGAATCAGAAGAGACTCATCAGATAACTTATTCGGAATTTCTGAAAAAAATTACATGGAACAGCGATAGAAGTCTATGGTCAAAAGTGGAAAGTTTTGAAGAGATTCAAAGTGCTGGGGACACAAAATATGATGATTACAAATCAGTATCCTATGATAGAGGTCTCCTAGATTCAGACTCCGAGTGGCATGACGTGATGGATGAAGCAACTCAATGGTCTACACCTTATCAACTACGAAGAAACTTATGAACCATGACGATCAATAGCTGAGTTCAAAGACATGTCGTGCTATAATAGATAGACTAGATCTAATGTTCAATTAAAAGACTATTATCTAATGCTCATCCTTTTACTTTTTATCTAAAGACTATTATCTAATGTTTCTAAGTACTTGGTGGAACAGAGAGAAAGTTTACCAACTTTGGCAATCTCTGGCCGTGATTCAAACTTTTGTTTCAAGAAATACTCCACAGCTTTCACATCATCATATGTTACCCTCTTGACCTTATTAACTTCCAATGTATCATCAATGCTAAACACAGCGAATATGAATTGCAAGTAGACCTCACCATCTTTTGAAAAGCATGGAACTTCGGTGACTTGAGGGACTTTTGAAAGATACTTCCTTGTGGAGTTCAACGCCAAGTATTTCCCGAGGCAGGCTCGTGATCGTCTTCAGATGCGGTTTATGGGCATTGAGCAGGGTTCGCGTTCTGTACGCGAGTATGATGAGGAGTTCAGCCGTCTGTTAGTGCATGCGGGCTTTGGTATGGAGTCTGAGCATCAGTTGACGAACAGATTTCTGGAGGGACTTCGCAAGGATATTCGGACTCTATGCAGGAGTAGTATGCACACTTCGAGGGCGAGTCTGGTAGAGTTGGCCGCGTCGGTTGAGGCGGATCTTGGTGGGCCAGTTGGTCCGGTGGCTGTGCCGTCAGCAGTTGCTTCTGCTACCCAGCCTCGGGGTCAGCATCAGCAGCCGCGACAGCAGCAGCAGCAGCAGCGCAGAGGTGGTTCGAGTTTCAGTTCTGGTTCTGGCAGGGGCGGTTTGCCTGCGCAGGGTCAGAAGAGGAGTAGAGAGGAGTTTTCTGGTGCTAGTCAGTTTCCTCGTGGTTCCTGTTTTGGGTGTGGGAGCACGGAGCATCGTGTTTCGAGTTGTCCCAAGAGAGAGTCAGCACCGAGGTGTGCTACTACTGCAAGGAGCCTGGGCATATCAAGCCCATGTGTCCTAAGTTGCGGAGTATGTCGGTGGCTTCGGTTCAGCCAGTAGCGGCTCAGCCAGTGAGTCAGATCGCAGCAGTGCAGCCGTTGGGTCAGATTGCACCGGCGCCGCGGGGTTACTCTTCGGTGGAGACTGGCGGGACTAGTCAGACCGGACAGATCACAGGTAAATCTTCGACTCAGACTTTGTAAATTCTTAGTATAGAATTGTTGTTGTGTATTGTCTGTTAGTCATTTTTATCTGTGATATTGTGGAGGTTCTCAACGCAATTGAATGTGTAGGGACCTTGTTAGTGGGCGGTTTTGAGTCCCACGTTTTATTCGACTCTGGAGCATCGAATTGCTTCATTACACCGGAGCGTGCCGAGAAGAGTGGCATCCGGAGTAGCGCGGGCGAGAGCGCGGGCATGGTCAAGGTGGCGGGAGGTGGATTCTTGTCTACTTTGGGCCGTGCTAGAGGAGTCGAGATCGAGATTGCGGGGCAGTCAATGCCAGCAGACTTAGTCATCAGTCCGGTGGAGCTGTATGACGTTATTCTCGGGATGGACTGGTTGTCACACTACAGAGTTCATCTGGATTGCTACAGAGGTAGAGTGGTCTTCGAGCGAGATGCAGGGAGGTTGGTTTATCAGGGAGTGAGACCGACTTCCGGGAGTATTGTGATATCTGCTATTCAGGCCGAGCAGTTGTTAGAGCGGGGCTGTGAGGCGTATCTGGCGACGATTTCTATGTCTGAGTCAGGAGCTGGAGTTGTTATGGGAGATATTGAGGTTGTCCAGGATTTTGAGGATGTCTTTCAGTCACTGAAGGGATTACCACCATCTCGGTCTGATCCTTTCACGATTGAGTTAGAGCCGGGGACAGCACCGATATCGAAGACGCCTTACAGGATGGCGCCAGCTGAGTTGGCAGAGCTGAAGAAGCAGATAGAGGACCTTTTGTCTAAGGGGTTCATTCGACCAAGTGTTTCACCGTGGGGAGCACCGGTGTTGTTTGTGAAGAAGAAGGATGGCAGTTTCAGACTTTGTATCGATTACAGAGGTCTTAACCGAGTCACTGTGAAGAACAGGTACCCACTCCCGAGGATTGATGAGTTGTTGGATCAGTTGAGGGGTGCTACTTGGTTCTCCAAGATTGACTTGGCATCGGGGTATCATCAGATCCCGATAGATGAGGCAGATGTCAGGAAGACTGCTTTCAGGACGCGTTATGGGCATTTTGAGTTTGTGGTTATGCCTTTCGGTTTGACTAACGCGCCGGCAGCCTTCATGAGATTGATGAACGACGTGTTCAGGGAGTATTTGGACGTGTTCGTCATCATTTTCATTGATGATATTCTGGTATACTCGAGGAGTCAGGAGGAGCATGCGACTCACTTGAGGTTGGTTCTGGAGAAAGCTTCGGGAGCAGAAGCTTTTTGCTAAGTTGAGCAAGTGCAGTTTCTGGCAGCGAGAGATGGGATTTCTTGGCCACATTGTTTCTGCAGAGGGAGTTTCTGTGGATCCGGCTAAGATTGAGGCTATCAGAGATTGGCCTAGACCTAGTAGTGCCACCGAGATCAGGAGTTTTCTGGGTTTGGCAGGATACTACAGGAGGTTCGTCAAGGGGTTTGCTACCATGGCGCAGCCGATGACGAAGTTGACCGGGAAGGATGTCCCTTTTATTTGGTCAGCTGAGTGTGAGGAGAGCTTTAGTCAGCTCAAGGAGATGTTGACTACTACACCAGTGTTGGCGTTACCCGAGCCAGGGAAGCCTTACATGGTGTATACAGATGCTTCAGGCATTGGTCTTGGTTGTGTGCTGATGCAGGAGGGCAGAGTGATAGCATATGCTTCGAGACAGTGGCAGGGCAGTGAGCGTAACCGTCCTACACATGACTTAGAGTTGGGAGCAGTGATCTTCGCGTTGAAGATTTGGAGGTCTTACTTGCTAGGTGAGACAGTACAGGTCTTCACGGATCACAAGAGTTTGCAGCATATCTTCACTCAGCCGATGATGAACGCGAGACAGACGCGCTGGGTTGAGTTCTTGGCGGACTATCAGGTGAGCATTAACTACCATCCGGGCAAGGCTAACCTAGTGGCGGACGCGTTGAGTAGACGGAGGTATGATTCCGCAGTTGAGCGAGATGTGGAGTCTCTAGTTGGCGAGATCAGTACCTTGCGTTTGTGTGCCATTTCGCAGGAGCCTTTGGGTTTAGAGGCAGTGGATCAGGCGGATCTACTTAGCAGGATCAGAGTTGCTCAGCAGAGTGATCAGAGTTTGCTAGATGCGACGAGAGTGACTGGTTCTGAGTATGAGGTCTCTGCGAATGGGACTATCTTGGTTCGTGGGCGAGTTTGTGTGCCTAAGGATGTGGAGTTGAGACATCAGATTTTGGGAGAGGCTCACGCGAGCAAGTTTTCCATTCATCCGGGAGCGACCAAGATGTACCATGACCTCAAGAGGTACTATCATTGGGTCGGGATGAAGAGGGATGTAGCAGACTGGGTTGCGAAGTGCAACACTTGTGCCTTGGTGAAGGCAGAGCATCAGGTTCCGGGTGGTCTTTTGCAGAGTTTACCCATTCCAGAGTGGAAGTGGGACAGGATTACGATGGATTTCGTGGTTGGACTACCTGTTTCGAGGACTTTCGATGCTATCTGGGTGATTGTGGATCGGTTGACTAAGTCTGCACATTTCTTGGCCATCAAGAAGACAGATGGAGCTGCTGTCTTGGCTAGGAAGTTTGTGCGAGAGATTGTGAGGCTGCATGGAGTGCCAGCTAGTATTGTGTCAGACCGTGATCCCAGATTCACTTCAGAGTTTTGGAGGGCGTTTCAGGCAGAGATGGGCACTAAGGTGCATCTGAGTACAGCTTATCATCCGCAGACAGATGGTCAGTCAGAGAGGACTATTCAGACTTTGGAGGATTTGCTGAGGATGTGTGTGTTGGATTGGGGTGGCCATTGGGCAGATCACCTGAGCTTAGTTGAGTTTGCATACAACAACAGCTTTCAGGCGAGTATTGGCATGGCTCCATTTGAGGCTTTGTATGGGAGGCCATGTAGGACACCCCTATGCTGGACCCAAGTGGGGGAGCGCAGCATGTATGGAGCTACTTATGTTCAGGAGACGACAGAGAAGGTTCGTGTTGTGAGGCTGAACATGAAGGAGGCTCAGGATAGGCAGAAGAGTTATGCAGATAGACGCAGACGAGAGCTTGAGTTTCAGGTGGGAGATAGAGTTTATCTCAAGATGGCTATGTTGAGGGGTCCTAACAGATCCATAGCAGAGAACAAGCTGAGTCCGCGTTTTATGGGTCCGTTTCCAGTAGTGGAGCGAGTTGGGCCATTGGCTTACAGGCTGGAGTTGCCTGAGATTATGAAAGCCTTTCACAAGGTTTTTCATGTGTCGATGCTGAGGAAGTGTCTTCACCCTACAGAGGAGTTAGTGGCTAGGATTCCAGAGGATCTTCAGCCAGATTTGACAGTGCCGGCAGTGCCTGTGAGGATTTTAGAGAGGAGGGAAAAGGTTCTGAGGAACAAGAGGATTCCCTTACTGAGGATTTTGTGGGATTGCAGTGGTTCTACAGAGGAGACTTGGGAGCCAGAGGCAAAGATGAAGTTGAAGTTCAGGAAGTGGTTCGACAAGCAGGTCGAGGAGTGAGCTTATTTCATCTTTGTAGCCTCAGTTGTTATTTTTGGCTTTGGTGTTATTGTATTTTCGTTTTCGTTGTAACGATATACATTTTGGAGTTTTAATGAGATGCAGTTTTTCCTCATTTTGCCTTGTGTTGTGAAATGGTATTCGGATGTTACACATGTTTGACCAGTTTTTGGTTGTGAGACGGTCTAATCTTATGGTTATAGACATTTTCCGGAATTTTTACTCTAAGGATTGCGATCCTGAATAACTCATCATGTTTTTGGAGACTTCGTTCTCTGGCAGACTCTCTGGGTGCAAGTAGGCCTCAGTTGAGTGTAGCTTATCTGGGTGCAAGTAGGCCTCAGTATAAGCAGTTTGTTCATCTGGGTGCAAGTGGGCCTCAGTATGGACGTTTTCGGGTTCGTCTGGGTGCAAGTGGGCCTCAGTGCGGACCGGTGTGGACTTGTCTGGGTGCAAGTGGGCCTCAGTACAAGTTGTTTGGTGTGTTTGGATGATGAGTTAGGAGTGAAATTTTCTTGGAACGTGTTTATGACATAAGATTATGACGTTTGTCTCGGGGATCAAGTGAGGATCTCCGGTGTTGCGGCCTTGCGAGGTGGGTTTTGTGGTCTTTGTGACGTTTGCGTTGGGATTCGAGGACGAATCCAGTTTAGTGGGGGAGAGTTGTAACATCCATAAACCAAAAATAAAAATTGGGAATTTTGTCGGTTCAATTTAAGTGAATTGGTTTGGGTCGGTTTAGTGGAGAAAGCCCTAAAATCAAGTTTAAAGAGTGCAGCCGTCTTCTCTTTGGAGAATTTTCGAGTTCAGATGCTGTAGAGGAGAAAAGTTGAGTTTTTGGAGAGATTTTCGAATTTTACTGTTCATCGGGTACTGTTCATCGGTACTGTTCACGGGTTACTGTTCATCGGTACTGTTCACGGGTTACTGTTCATCCGCGATTCGGCACTGTTCATCGTCCTTCCTTTTTCCTTCAGTTTCAATCAATTGTCAAGGTGAGTGCATGACTGTGGGTCCGTGATTTGCTAGATTAGATTTGGTTTGTGGTTGTTCTTGATGAGTTTATGTTTTAATTGTTATTTTTATGATATTTTGGTTGTTTCATGTGATGAATTGTGTGTTTGTGTGGTTTAATCTGGTTTATTGGTTTAATTGAATTTAATTGATTTGATTCTGGTTTATCTTGGTTCAATTGAATTTAATTGGTTTAATTGAATTTAATTGGTTTAATGGAATTAAATAGATTTAATTCGGATTTAATTAATTAAATAATATTTATTTAATTAATTGGTATTATTTTAATTATTTTAAAATATGGAAAATTATTATTTAATTATGAGAATTATTTAATAATTGAGAAATTGAGTTTTAATTATTAAAAATTATTTAATAATTGGAAAATGGTATTTAATAATTATTGGAGTTTATAAATATTATTAAATATCTAGTAAATTGCGTAAATGGCTCGTAGGCAGAGTGATTGCCTCACTAAGTATTTATTAAATACTTACGCAACTCCATTCCAATGTGTTGCAGGTAAAAGATTTGTGTGATCGCGGAATCAAGGCTGAAGAGGGGGATGATAGGATGTTTACTGTTTTATTGTTTTGCATTATTTTGCTAGACTTGTTTAATTATTATTTGCTTCCGCTGAGCTGATTTATTTGTTATTGATATTTTATTTATTTAATTTATTTTTAAGACCTTCGCTAGAACTGATTAATATTTATTAAAAAAAAAATGTTGGTTGTTTCAGGTTTTCCAATTTTTAATTCTTTACAATTTTTTTAATTTCTTCCATATATGTGGCACGAAAATATAGAAAATATGCAAATTGTAATGAGAATTGGGTTGATTTTGCTTGTAGCTATAACTATATATAAGACAGAGTCGGCTAACAAACTTAGGTTTTCCAATTTTTAATTCTTTACAATTTTTTTAAATTTCTTCCATATATGTGGCGCGAAAATATGTTAGTGGTACGGTATATATCCAAAAATAATTTAGGAAGAAAGCAAAATTCTTTATCCATCGTCCAATAAAATAAATTCGTTTTTAAATAAGATAATAAGCAAATTGAAAGATTTATTCAAGATTTTCATTAAGGGTACTTATGTAATTCATAGGCTGAGAGTTAACGTGGCGGCTCCATTCACGAAAATTGATTTGCAAATACTAATATGATGCAAGGACAGGCCCGGCCCGGCCCAGCCATAAAGCTCATGAAGCATTAGATTTAGGTCACACTTATATTTACAGTTTTTGAGGGCCACCATTACATGTTGGTACAATAGCATAGTGGTCATAGGTGATACTTTTCAGCTCTCTTTGCTTGAGTTCGACTCCTGTTGGAATAGAAAATATTCTTATATTTTTTTTCTAGGCCACATTTTCTAAAAAAAACTTTAGGCCACCAAATGTGTTGGGCCGGCACCGTGCAAGGAGGTTAATAAATCTTGTACCCTAGTGGCAACGAAACGGACAGTGGAAAAATCCTGTCGTCTTAATCTATGTAAGACTTGAACCATTAACAGAAACAGATGAGAACTGGGAGAGTCAAGTGGATATGAAGCTCTTTGTGTTTGATCAGAAACAGAAGAAGTATGTGACAATCCAAGGTAAAATGGGATCTAAGGAAATATATGGAAAACTACTTTGTCATCTCTCAAGTCCTTGCATTTGGCGGCATTAGACATTCCTAGTGTGATGTGTAAGAGGTTGTCCCTTGTTAAGTTATATACTGAAGCTAACCCTTTCCCTTGTATACACACGCCAGTACATTCCTCCTCTTTCTACCTAGCTAACCGAAGTACCGAACTACCGAAGTGCGAAACATATTAAACTATGGCCTTGATTATATATACTATCCTATTCGTTATTTTGGAATTTGCAGTCCTAGGATCGGTGTATTTTATTGGCAACTAGAGTTTGGCCCAAAGAACATGAAAACACGAAGATATGGTCGGATTAATTGGATTTCCAAACGATAAATTGATGAGAACTGAAACAAAAATTATGTGTTTTAGATTAATTATGTTAGATCGGTTTATATATAAAACAAGTTTACAAGTCCATTTCCTAGTTTCTTATGCCGAAACAACAAGCTAGGGTTCTTGCTTGTCCTGAATTCTTTGGCGAAATTTTGGGATTCTACGCCGACTGCAAATCTCTCAAGGGATTCTATGCCGCTTGCTAACGTTATCGATCTCATAAATTTGAAGCTATGTTTCGTAGATTTGTCAGAAAATCAACTCATGAAGGATACTACAAGATGTATTAGCTGTTGGAGGAATTATATGAATCAATATAAATACTACAATGACCAATAAAATTGAAATACTTAATAATTCTAATTGAAAAAGTGGCTTTATAATTAAAAAAAATATTATCTTATTATATAAAGCTGGATGCTGGTGCGACACGTAGGATTTTTATAAAATATAGGATTGCGACATGTGTCACTTTTAATGTTATATCCGTTAAGATCGTGACACATGTCTTCGGAAAAAGAAATTTTTATTTTAAAGGAAATTTTAATATCTTATAATAAAAACGAAATTTTATATAATAAAATATAAAATAATTAGTATATGGAATAGGTATGTAAACTAAATATCCTAAAATTGTATGGAATAGGTTATATAAACTCCTATTTAAAAAAATCCTATTAGTACATGTAATAGGTATGTAAACTAAATATCCTAAAACTGTATGAAATTGGTTACATGAACCCCCTATAAAAAGAGAGCTACTGTAGTCTCTTTTTCTCATTCACAAACTCATCAAAGCAAATTCAGAAAATCTCTTTGATTCTCTTTCTCTAATTTCAAAATCATGTCTTTGAAAGTTCAAGAGAACAGTGGAGATTATTTGACTCTAGGTCAATTGGATCGAAATTAAAATTATTTGAATAAAATCCTATTAGTACATTAGGAAAAATCAGAAAACAGGAAACAAACAATTAAAAAGAAAAAATATTACATCCATTATGAGAAGTAAAGAAAAAACATAATTCTATTACGAAAAGGAAAAAAAAACGAAAATCAGAAAAACATGAAGAAATAATTAAAAAATGTTACATCCAATAAGAAAAGGAATAAAAAAACATATTCCCATTACGAAAATGAAAAAAAAAATATATAAGCTATATTTTTTAAGTTTCTTTCTCATTAAGAAATAAAATTCATGTCTTTAAAAGTTAAAGATATCAATGAAGAATACTTAACTTTAGATCGATACATGTGTCTAATATTTGATGAAGTGATGACATGTGTCAACACAAGAAAATTGGAAAAATGTAGTAACATAAATAAATAAACTAACAAAATAATATTAAAACAACTAACTAATAATGAAAATGAAAATTTATAATGGTCAGAGGCAAAAACGAAATTGAAAAAGAAACAATATAAATAGAAAACTAACAAAATAATTATTAAGGAACTAAATAATATTAAAAAAGAAAATTTTATAATGGACTGATCTTCTAATATTAAATAGTTTAATTTTCCATGTTTTGTTAGGTAAAAAAATATTAAAAATAAAGATTTCATCATGGAATAATCAAAGTTTCATAAAATAATGAGTCGATTAGATTTAGACACATGTAAATCTTTCTATTTCATATCATGAATTCAAAATAAAAATGTAAAAGACTACATATCTTTATTTAGAGATTTGTTATCGGGTTTTTAATATTATTTTCTTATTTTTAAAATTGATCAAATTTTGTTTAATATTCTTCCGTGATTTAAAAAAATAAAAAATAAATAAACCCGCGTATACGCGGGGCCTAATCTAGTTATTTATAAATAAACAATGAACTTATACATAAATATAAGAAAGTTGTCAAAATTTGTTTAAAAAAAATAAGTGTATAACATAAGCAAAATATATGCAAATTTTAAGTAAAACATAACAAATATATGACAATTTATCATGTTTTGCTAATACATATTTCCTTTTCAAAATCATATGCTTAAGATTGAGAGCCCCATATGATAAAGTAAGTCAGCTTTACAAGCATCAACTCAGAACCACAACCACAAAAAATGAAATCAGTTTCAAGTAGAAAACCAATTTTCATCATGTTGAAACCAAATTGATGGTTAAGTTTAAAATTGGAGAAAACTCACCTGGTGATAGCCATGAGTCCCAGCAACACAGCACCATTCGCACCCCTTGTCAGCAACTTTCGCAACTCCCAAATCTGCTATTTTCGACTCATAATCTCCGTCAATCAGAATGTTGCTACAGAAGGGACAAAACATTCAGTCAATTGTAATATTGGATCCATACTTCATATGACTAAAGAGTAGAGAACAAACACTAGTACATCTTGTGCCAATCCAATTACGATAATCCACCTTCCAGATTCCGGCGAAGAGCTTGATACAAGTTACCATTCTCCATGAACTCAAACACCATATAGCTAGAACCTCTTCCGACAAGAAAAGTGTAGAGCTTCAGCACGTTTATGTGTCTGGCATTTATAAAACTGATTTCTATTTCTTTTGGTTAATGTTTCTAGAAGGACTTATTTGTTTTTCTGTAAAAACAAGGAATTAATGTACTTGTAAGTTTTCATATTAAGAGTGTGAGAGAACTATATCCTTACATATTAGTCAGGTTGTTTGTTTTCAGTAAAACAAAACCCGTGAAGAATGTGTAATTCTAAAGATTGTTTTCATATTAAGAATGTTTAAAATAACAATTCTAAAGATTCTTGTCACATTTCTAGTAGTACTCATTTATTTGCGTACGATGCAAGATTCATTTTAGTGTCGGGGTAGAAACAGGGTTCAGTATTAAAAATTGATATCCGTCCGGGAACTTGTATTTGAAAAACTCCATAATGTATTTTACCAACCGAAAAAATAAAATAAGAATAAACTCCACTATGTATGATTTAACTTTCAATACAAAGAATATAACATAATTTAGTCAAGCAACCGGATAAAAACCCCACTGAGCCAAACCACACATGCCTTGAGGCCACTCCACATCTCTACGAAGTCTAATGTAACCATTCTCTCCCCAAGTAGTACCCCAAGAGTTCTTAGCCAGCCAGTACTTGATCCCTTCCTTTGTCGTCCCGTACCCAACCAACGTCACTGCATGAGTTATGCTGATCCCACAGTCGGGCGCATCGAACACTCCCCCTGAGTAATGCATGAAACCTGAAACGCTCGCGTCCACTAAAACCGATATGGGCTGTCTCGATACAGCCTCGAGCAACGCAGCCTCGTTGTTAGCCAAAACGTTTCGGAATCCACTAATCTGCATGGCGGGTTTGGCGTTGGACTGGCAAATCCCCTCTTTCCATTGGTAAGGGTATGCGTCTTCTGTAGAAATGCCTCCGTTTTGTGCAATGTACGTGAAAGCTTTGTCCGTTGATCCGCTATTGCAACCGTTATTAGATGTGTCGCAATCTACAAGCTGCTGTTCGGACAGTGATACGAGGTTCCCTCGGGATATCTTTGTCAGACCTTCCACCGCTGCAATCGTTGCGAACGCCCAACAACTACCTGCCCAAATATCGATTACTTCATTGTTACGAAACGAAATTTTTATTGGTAACCCTAAACCTAGGTTGATAACATCATACGAGCAATCCAGCGGTGTACTTTCTATGATGTGTAGAGACTGTTTATAAAATATAATTACAGCAAGCTTACCACATTGTCCTTGCGATTTGACAGGTGTTACAGCTCCTTCCTCTCTCCAGTCTTTGCTCCTGGCGACGACATTACTGATGTTCCAACTCCAAGATGGCATGGTCTCATCAACTACAGGTGGTGAGGTTAGGTTAATGCCATTGAGACCGGTGTGGCTGGCAAGGAACTCTTCTTCGCTCCAATCCGTGAATTCGTTGACACCAAGTTTGTAGCTACGATTCCCATTATTATTGAAATTCTCAATGAATTTCAAGTTTTTCTCAAACACTCTAAGCCTCATCAGTTTCTCGGATTCATTGCTATAAACTTTAGAGAATTGAATCATCCATTGTTGGTGGTAGTCAGCAACTGATGACTCGTGAAAGATGAGACGGGATGTGGCTTGAGAGATCCTTAGATCCATGGAAATAATGGTTAGAACCATGAAAACATACGATACTACCAACACCATTTTGGTTTTGATGGATACGATAGGTAACAAATATAAGAAAAAAATCACGTTTTCACTAATATGAACTGTCTTTTCTTCTTAAATAAAAAATATGTAAAAAGTTTCTATTGTGGTGACTGGTGAGGTGAAGAAATGAGAATTTATAGAGTTTAAAACGAGAGTTGTTATGTTGAAGACTTGAAGCAAATGCTATAATATCTCAATCTCTGTAATTAGTGCTAGTTAGGATCCCTGTAATTAATTACTGTTACCATTACTGTAATCACGCATGTTATATTCGTGCTCTACACAATGAATACGATATAACACTATTCATACATCTTCCATGGTGCTTATGTTAGTTTGCATTAATTACTTGATGCGTCCTGGGCGGCCCTGAAATTTAGAGGGCTCGAGCAAAAAAGGGAGGTTTGTAGATATATCCCTCATATATTAAAAGAGAAAACACTAACTAAATAACCTTTGTCCATTGTGTTATTAACAAGAGTGTCACTGCTGATGTGTCATCACCATGTTCATTCTCAACCCAATTTCTAATTAAGACAAGCTTTACTAGAGAAATTACAAATTGTGTCATTGCATATTATGCTTACCATCCATTTATTATTATATTATTTCCTTAATTGACAATTACGAAAATAAGTAAATAAGGAAGATATGAAATTCAATTGAATTCTATCATAATAATTTTTTTAAAATCATTATATATCCCCTATCATCTTTGTTCAACTTTATTTTATAAAATAATATGAATCACAATATAAAAAACTAATAAAGAAAATCTAAAGCTTTTTCTGTATATGCTATGATTTGAATTTTTAAAAACAAAATAATCAAGTTGTTTAGTATATAATCTCATTTAGTGTAACCTAGGTATTTAAAAGTAAATTATTATTTTTATTTTATTTAATATGGTTTTTAATTAAATTCTATAATAAAATTGAATAAAAAAATTCTTTTTATAAATTTTTACTTTGATTAAAAATTTGAATATTATTCCATCTGTTTCAACCTTCAATATAAAGTTAATTGTATTTTTGTTGTTTTAACAATTTAGATCATACATATTGTTTTCTTATTGGTTGAATTGTTTTGAAATTATAATAAAACATGTTTTAGTTTTGAAAGAAAGAGAAAAAATAGTTCTAATCCATGTCTTAGTTTTGAAAGAAAAAAAAATTGATTTTAATCCGTGTTTTAGTTTTAAAAAAAAAATAGTTCTAATCTGTGTGCACACAGCTAAGACTTCTTATTTTATAAAATACAGTATAAATTTTTGTAAAGAATAATGTTTTATTTTCACTTTTTTTTTCTTTAAACTAACTTATTATACTGTAGTCATTTGAATTTCATATATCTCGCTTAAATCTATCATATTTAATATATGACTATGTTCAAGACTTTAATCTATTTACCTTTTTAAAAAATAATTTAAAATGCTTAATTTTCATATTATAAACGAATAAACGAAGGCAATAATCTAACAAAGATTAAAAATCCGTCGCATAAAATTTTGAGATATTTAAATAAACATTTTTTAATAAATTACCAAAAAACATCTTTTAATAAAAATACAAATTCGGAAACCATCACCCCGTGCTGGGCGCGGGTCAATCCCTTGTATCTTTTTAAATGAAGACAAATGTTAACTGTTTATAAATTTGGAGCTACTTATTAGAAATAAAATAAAGTGAGGAAGCCTATTTTTAATACTAAAAAAACATAAATTGGGGTCAAAATCCATGTTTCACATGGCTGCTACCTCACGATCCATGTTTGATCTGACCCCATCTCCTAATCCGGATACGAATACCAAAATCACCTATTTCACCACTTACAGTGAGTCAGACCCAAGTCAGAAAATCTGATAAGACCTCTTATTATTGTCACCCTTCGCTTGCTTATTTATATCATGTGAGTGTGTGTGTGAAAGAGAGAGAGGTAGAGAGTCCTTGATTTTCTGAATAATCTATATATACGGTTGATGCGCAATTGTCTCCCAAATATCTATGTTGTGTATCATTTGTGTATGATATTTATGTGAACTATGTTTTATGACGTAAAGCTGTGTTATTTTGATTGATTGATTGCATGCGCATTTGAAACAAACTGTAAAGGATTTGAAACGCCTCTCAGATCTCAGAGTTTAAGAACTTACCCTACTCAGTTTTCTCAAGCTAAGATCAGACTTTATCAGAAAGATATTCGTCATTCATTTTGTTTAGCCTAAAAACGGCGTTTGTTAGTTGCACTGATCTTCATCTTCTAAAATAGTAAATTACAGAAGCAACTCATACTTTAAATTATTGGCGTCCCAAATACGGATTCTAACAATATCTCATCCTGTTATACCATTGCCACCGTCTTCATACTACGGAAGCAAAAAGTTTGTATCAGTTTTATCGTAGTGATGTCAAACAAGTTAATAACAACATCAATTATTTTAAGGGATGTTAAATTTTGTTTTTTTTTTTCATTTGTTAATAAGTAATTTAAATTAATATCATTTATCTTTGTGATACTATTTAAGTGATGTAATACACTATCTTTTTTGTAGTGTTAATTCGACGATTTTATTAATGGCGACGTGAAATATATAAAGCCAGCTAAACAATATATATTGCTATAACAATTAGAACGTGGAGAAATATAAATCCCACATTACGTGGCTTAAAAGTTTATAACAACTGTATATATGTAATATAATCAACACAATATACTTAAAAAAAAAAAATCAACACAATATACAGTACATAATATAGGTCAAACTTTGTGATGCAGATATAGACCTCTAACAATTCACAATCCAAACTATATAATGATATATATCACATGTTTTTCTGTTTTTTTTTTCCTTTTTCTTTACTGCCATCACATGTTTTGTTGTTTAAATGTTATATATGATTATCATATATAACACTTTAATATAAGTCATCTGCCGCTTAGTTATGCAACCGGATAAAAACAATACTGAGCCACACCACACATGCCTTGAGGCCACTCGACATCTCTACGGATCCTAATGTAACCATTCTCTCCCCAAGTCTCACCCCAAGAGTTCTTAGCCAGCCAATACTTGATCCCTTCTGGGCTCGTCCCGTACCCTACGAACGTCACTGCATGATTCACGTTGATCCCACAGTACGGCTCATCGTACACTCCCCCTGAGTAATGCATGAAACCGGGTCCATCTGCGTCAATGGACACTGAGACAGGCTGTCTCGAAACCGCCTCTAGCAACGCACGCTCGTTGTTGCTTGGAACGGTCTGGAACCCTCGGATCGATGCGGCTGGTCTCCCGTTGTACCGGCACACGCTCTCTCTTTCTTGAAAAGGGTACGCTTGCTCTGACGTAATGCCTCGGTTTTTGACTATGTAGGTGAAAGCGTCTGACATTATCCCGCCGCTGCAACCGTGGTTATGCTCTCTGTCGCAATCTAGAAGCTGTTGTTCAGACAATGATACGAGGTTGCCTCGAGCAATCTTTGTCACACCTTCCACCGCTGCGACGGCTGAGAACGCCCAACAACCTCCTGCTCATGTATACATCCATATATATATATATTGATTAGTTTATCTTTCCAATAAAAAAAATCATGTAATACCCTAAACCTAAATACGGTAACCCTAACTTGGTGTTTAAGTTTTGTATGAAATTATGAACTTAAATGACTAATCCAGCAGTTTGGTACAATTTTTATGCTAACTGAATTAAAATGTGGAAAACAATACGCGTAGAGATAATCGTTTGTAATGAATAATAGGCGTACCGCATTGGCCTTGGTATCTAACAGGTGTTACAGCTCCTTCGTATCTCCAATCTTTGGTCTCACGGGCGACATCACTGACGTTCCAATTCCAAGATGGTATCATTTCGTCGACAAATTCGGAGAATGGAGTTTCGTTGATGCCCTTGAGACCGGTGTGAGTGGCAATGAACTCCTCTTCGGTCCAATCCGCAAACTCGTTGACACCAAGCTTGTAAGTCTTATTCCCATTCTTATTGAAGTTCTCAATGAATTTTAAGTTTTTCTTGAACACATCGAATCTCATCTGTTTCTCGAGCTCATCCCTATAAACTCGAGAGTATCGAGTCATCCATTGCTGGTGGTGGCTAGCCATTAGTGGCTCGTGGAAGGTGACACGAGATGTGGCTTGAGAGACTTTTAGACTCATGGAAAGAATTGTTAGAATCATGAACACGAATACGATCGATGCCATTTTGTTATTGATGAATATGACAAATTCAAATATATTAAAGAATGAAACTGTGTAGCTTTGTATGTAAAGGGTTTGTGTTGTGTTGTGATGTGATGAAGAAGGGAGGATGGGAGATAGGGTATTTATACAGAGAAGTTTCGGAGTTGGTTATGTCTAACTGAAAATTGCGAGCAAATTGCAAGTTGACTCTACATAACAGTGATGCTATAATATGCATTACTTGCGCCGTGATCTTTGGAGGAACAACTTTCCCATCTTTATATGCACATTTGTTGCAACTAATATATGATATTATCACGATTTTAGTTTCATTTTAAAATAAAGAGATAAGATCTAGCTATATTTACTTAGCAACCTTAGGGTTAAGGTTAGTATTACATTTGTGTTTAAGTGCAATCATGGAACCAAGTGGTCGTATCCCAGTAGTACTTGAGGGAGGTAAGTCCCAATACGGACCTGAGTTCGAAACCACTTGGCCACAACGGATTTAACATCCCTTCTGTTGGGCCCTGGACCCCTTTCGAGGGGATAGTCGAGTTTTCCGTTCGGGTTAGATCCTCGGAATAACTAGATACAGCTGGACAAAGCTCAAACCATCGGTTTAGGCCTCATGACTGGTCGGTGACTGTTCGGTCGACTCCTCGGATTTGTTAGGGACACTTCTACAGACTAGACAGATGGGATTTGTGATGAAAGTAAAGAAGAAAAGAATTCAATGGAGCGTCACGGGGGATACCAGAGATACAAAAAAAAAAAAAAGAAAAGTGCAATCATGGTCCAATCAATTGTATTCTGAAGTGTCTCGGTCGTGGTGAGATTTAAAATATTAGATTATCCGAACACAAAATTCTCAATGCAAAATTTGTTTTTCGTGGTAACTGCGTTTTGATAGTCAAAAGTATATAGCTTTGACTGATTCATTGTTGTTCACGATGAAAATAAATAAATTTAATACATTTTTCTGTTTAATCTGATTTGGGTTCATCTCGAATGACAAAACTTACCCATTCTTCACAAGGGGTAAATATTTGACACTAAATAAGATTAGTCTAGTGGTTACTGTTAAGCCGAGTGAAGGGATCATTAGCCTAGTGGCTACAGTTAAGCCGACCAACGGTGGCACACTGGCACTCAGCCTGGCAAGCTTGGGGGTTGAATATGGCTTCAAGTGGGGTCTGTCAGGAAAAAAAAATGAGGAACTGACAAATTATCTCTTCAAAATGTAAATTGCCAAATGAAACAACTTTGATCATAGAAAATCAGTTGTCAAATGAAACAAATTCTTACTTTCACCAGTGAGTAGTTATCTATTATTGCAAGAAATCTCTTCATGTTACATATCAAAATTCTCTCTATTGCTTTTTTTTTTTTTTTTGTGGTGGGGAAGGAAGATTTTGGTGATAACTACTATATATTGATTAAATGAAATGGTTACACAATACGATACAAAAGTACGTTAAGACGGATAATTTTAACGACTCTCGATTTTCCGTTGCAACAGCATAAAGAGAAAACATTATAAGGATTCTTTAAAAGAAGAAGAAAAGAATGGTGTGCTATGTGTATGTAATAACGAAAAGGTCCACTTTAGAGATAATCGACGTAATTTCTACTATATATCTAACTGAATTGAAGGAGCTTTTTGTTTATCCCACTTGCCATTCTGTAGCCCTTACGTTGCTTTGGTCAATAGTTTGGACCGTTGATACAAGTATGAACATAGATCAATGGAAACTCCGGTGTGATATTCTGCGAAGATACAAATTAGATGTTCAGTAATCAACATCTTATTAATTCAACAATGTTTATTTATTTTTTAACTCAATGATGTAATAAATCCTAAATTGCAAAAGGTTTCATTGAACAAAAGGATAATTTTCATGTATCTAATATTATGTATGTAACCATATTTCCGAGGATTTCAGACTACAATGCCTAAGCCAATCTATGACACCCCTAGAAAAAAAATTGTTTTTGGTGTTTAAGATTACATCATTTTATAATACAATTTTCCACAATATCTAACATAATAAAATAAAAAGTTATTCATGTATCTCCCGATGAATTGTTCAAACAAAGAAAAGTACATTTCCAAAGACAGTTACACATAAAGCAAGCTCCCCAAATTAATGGATTTTGTGTTTGAAGAAAAAAATAGTATTATAAAAACTGTCAACTAGTGACTTTTAGAGAAGGAAAAGAAACTCGGCCGCATTTAGTTTGATTGACCTTTCATCCATTTAACACTCAACCCATTATAAGTTGAGTTGGATTGCGTTATCCATTTTGATACTTTTAAATTTTAGTCGTGGTATAAGTATAACCGTATAATGATGGTTAATTTATTTTTGGTAAAGGGTTAGAATCATAGCTAATTTTCGTTTCATCTATTTTTTTATTTGCTCTATCAAGTTTATTATTTATTTTGATTTACTATATATGATTTTGGGTATAATATATACCAACATGGTCGGAAACTTGGAATACATACTACTTTATAATTTAACATTAAAACCAAAAGGTAAAATATATTACTCTCTATCTTATATTATTAAAATAACATTCATTTCAAAAAATAAAAATAAAGAAAACATGAAATTTGTTAAGAAACTAAACTGTACCACTATATATTATGTATAGTGGATTGATTAATAAAGAACAAGAAGATGTGAGAGAGAGGGAGAGAGAGAGATTTATATGTGAGAAAGATGGTGGTGGTTTCGTATGTGGGAGAGGAGAGTTATTGTACGTGAGAGAATGAAGAGAGAAGTATAGAGTTTCTTTTGTATTGAACTTATGTTTCAATTAGTAACTGAGTACACATATTTATACTAGAGAGAATTAATAGAATAATGACTATAGCGGTGGATATAAGACGGTGAAAAACTTACCTATAAGTAAGTAATAAAATATTCATAGAGGATAATTATCCTTTCTAACACTCCCCTTAATTATCCGCTGTATTATGTACGGTCTCGTTAAAAAACCTATGTCATAGAAAAACCCAATGGGATAAAAACTATGACTTAGGAAAAAGAGTACCGTAGCATAATCTCCCCCTGGAAAAGATAGAATCTTTTCTTTTCACAAGTTTTGAGACGACGCATTCCATACTGTGAACATGCTTCTTGAACACTGTAGTAGGAAGCGCCTTTGTAAAAAGATCGGCTGCATTGTCACTTGAACGAATATACTCGATGTCCACTTCTTGATTTTTCTGGAGTTCTTGAGTGTATGAGAAAAATCTTGGAGGAATATGCTTCGTTCTGTCACTCTTGATATAACCTTCTTTGAGTTGTGTGACACATGCAGAATTGTCTTCAAATATTTTTGTTGGCTCTTTCTCTATGATATTCCACTTGATTCTTGTATGTGATGAGTCATAGACCGGAGCCACACACTCTCTACATGCTTCATGGAGAGCAATAGTTTCTGCATAATTTGAAGACGTTGCAACCAAAGTTTGCTTTTGCGAACGCCAGGAGACCGCGGTTCCACCAATTGTGAAAACATAACCTGTTTGTGATCTAGCTTTGTGTGGATCTGATAGATATCCTGCATCAGCAAAACCAACTAAAACACATTTTGAGTTTTTAGGATAAAATAATCCTAAATCAATTGATCCTTGAAGATAACGAAAAATATGTTTTATTCCATTCCAATGTCTGCGCGTAGGGGACGAACTATATCTTGCAAGCAGATTAGTAGCGAATGCTATATCTGGTCTAGTGCAATTTGCAAGATACATTAGTCCACCAATAGCGCTCATGTAAGGTACTTCAGGACCTAACACTTCCTCGTTATCCTCACAAGGACGGAATGGATCCTTTTCAACATCAAGAGATCTATTAACCATTGGAGTACTCAAAGGAGTTGCTTTGTCCATATAAAAGCGTTTTAACACTCTTTTAGTGTAATTTGACTGATGCACAAATATACCATCTTGGAAATGCTCTATCTGGAGCCCAAGACAAAACTTTGTCTTTCCAAGATCTTTCATTTCAAACTCTTCTTTCATATGAGTTCTTGCATCATCAATTTCCTTTTGAGTTCCAATCATGTTCAGGTCATCTACATATACAGCAATAATCACAAATCCTGAAGGAGGATTTCTTAATGAATACGCAAGGGCATATCGCATTGTTGACGTAATCTTTACTCAACAAATATTCACTTAAGCGATTATACCACATGCGTCCGGACTGTTTTAGTCCATAAAGTGATCGCTGTAATCTGACCGAACAGATCTCCTTAGCCTTTGATTTCAAATCCTCAGGCATTTTTAATCCTTCTGGGATTTTCATATATATCTCATTTTCAAGAGATCCATATAGATATGCTGTCACAACATCCATGAGATACATTTCAAGATTTTGAGACGCTGCTAAGCTCATCAAAAATCTGAATGTTATGGCATCCATTACCGGGGAATATGTTTCTTCATAATCAATTCCCGGTCTTTGAGAAAAACCTTGAGCCACAAGTCGGGCTTTATATCTTGTGACCTCATTTTTCTCATTTCTTTTTCTTACAAAAACCCATTTGTGCCCGACGGGTTTTGTATTCTCAGGAGTTGTGACAATAGGTCCAAAAACACTTCTTTTATTGAGGGAGAGTAATTCAGCTTGGATGGCCATTTTCCATTTCTCCCAATCAGGTCTTTTCAGACACTCTGATATTGTTTCTGGATCTGGATCATCACTTTCATGATCAATTCTTTGTATACAGAAAAAGAGAATATTCCATCATCATCTTCTATTTCATTTCTTGTCCATACTTTTCCATTTTGGGCGAAGTTGATGGAAATCTCAAATTTTTCTGTATCATGTTCGTCTTCTGGACGAATCTCTTTCTCTGGTTCTTCAAAAACCAGTTTGTTTATGTCTTCAGGACATATTTCTTTACTAGGTTCTTCTTGAACCTTTCTCCCAAATTCTTTTTCTTTCGGGGATTTT